TTTTTTTTTTTTTTTTTTTTTTTAGTAGAGATAGATATTCTTTTATTAAAAAAAAAAGAGTATTAGAATAGTAATTGATTGCATTAAAATGAATGCATCATTTTCATGATCATTATTTCATATATTTTTTGTATATAAATGAAAATATTAATTATTAACAAAAATCAAGCATGGATTAGAAACGCAGTAGAAAAAAAAAAAAAGAAAAGAAAAAATACATAAATTCTCTAAACATATATTTTATTATATTAATTATATAAATTATAGCTTATATATAGTCAGGTGAAGGAGTAGTGGCTAATAAGTAACATAACTACATAGTAGACTTTTACTATACAACTGTTTTTCAAAATGTACATAATATAAAATTAAAATATGCATATATATCTTATTCTACTTCCAACACAGACTTCAATGAATATTGATGAAATGATATTACACTTTGTTTTTAAAATACGAAATTATTTGCAGCAAATAAAATTTGTTAAAATGTAAATTTTACGGGATAATATAAGAAATTTAATATGTTCTTTACAGAGGAACAAATGCCAAGTCAACAATATAATTACTTCACAGATAAAGGTACTTATTATATAGGCATGAAATTATGCATGATCATTTATTTTATGTGATATCAATTTGATATATATCACAAGAAAGTTATAATAAAATAGTATGAGAAGAAAAATAATCTATAATCTTATAGATTAAGAAAAAAGTAAACGTTTTCGTAAATATTTTTGAAATGATAGTTGGTCAGCCTTTGAGAAATCAACCCTCACCCAGCAATTTACGCGTGATCAGCCCCACACTAGGTTCAAATAAACCACAACATCGTTCTGTCAGTCCGTTACCAAAATGGGCACGTGGAGGTATTTACAGATAGTATAAAAAAAAAGAAAAAAAAAAAAAAAAGAATAGAAATTGTAAATTCTATAAACGACAAGTTATTTAAAATTGAAATTAACTATATTCTCTTGTCAGGAGATAATCCAGATCTCCTGTATCAAGAACTGGCTTCTGAAAACGAGTTGGAAAAGTCAATTAGTGCTGGAGGTAAATCAACAAAATTGTTCTCGAAAAACAAAAAGAATGATTACATCGTTAGGATTAATTTTTTCTTTATTTGTTGTTTATTAAGCATGTGTTCAGATCTGAAAGGGAATATATACTTGACATGATGTATAATTTGTACATTTTTTTAAAAAATAGTAACACAAATGAATCTTAAATTATTTGCAATTACTTTTTATGCAATATATAAGATTCAAATGTGATTTAAAGAAAAACAGTTTCACTAATATTTCATTATTTATTTCATTTTCATATCATTAATTCGTGCATACTAATTTTATATGTATAGAAACATTTAATATCATTTATCATTAATTTCAATCAATGCTTTTATTTCTTTCCTCTGACTAAAATAGCTATCCATAATAAAATTCATTAACGTAACTAATAAATATTTATTAATTTTGTATGATGTATATAAACTATATGGTTTTTCTTCATTTTTATGCTACATGGAATTATCTAGGCTACATTGATTATTATGATGATGGTAATTACTAATGTATTTATTAATGGAAGCGATTTATCTAACATAATAATTTAACAATAGCATGAGAGAAGATATTGAATATTTATGTTTCAGTTTCTTTATAGAACAATATTATTCATTTCAAGATCGTGGTGATACGAAACTTGGAAATGTTTGCAATATTGGGTTTCCTTATGTTTTTTTTCTTATTTCTTATAAACTTATAAATTATTTCATGTTTTCATATTATAACAATATTATTTATAATATTGCAAACAAACATATTGTGAGTTATTATTGTGAAATTTTATTGCAATAAAATTGTTATTTCTAACAGAAGTAGCACCACCACGTCCACCATTACCTGGTGGTGATATTCCGCCACCAAGACCTCCACCTCCAGAAACGGATGATGAAGATGAAATGTTTATGCATGCACCTCAACCAAATCAACCAATAATGGTATGTATATTTTCAATTGTTCAATATTATTTTAAAATGTATTGTAAATAAGAAAAATCACAGTTAAGAAATTCTTAATTATAGATGGCTGCACACGGATTGCATCAAGAAGTACGACAGTGGTCAAGCAAGGATAATGAAATTATTGCTGCAGCTAAAAAAATGGCTGTATTGATGGGTAAATTATCTGGTTTAGTTAGAGGAGAAGGTGGAAATAAAAGAGATCTTATAGCTTGTGCTAAAGCTATAGCTGAAGCTTCTCAGGAAGTAACACGTCTTGCAAAAGAACTTGCAAGAGAATGTACTGATAAACGTATTCGTACGGTATGTATATAATCATTTTTATTTAGTTATTTAATTAAAGATAGAGTTTATAAAATAATGATCTCTTGTATTTTATTTCTCATTTTGTAGAATTTACTTCAAGTTTGTGAACGTATACCAACTATTGGAACACAATTGAAAATTTTGTCTACGGTAAAAGCTACAATGCTTGGAGCACAAGGTATGTCTTTTTTTTTTTTTTTTTTTTATACAAAAGTATTCAAATATTTTTCATATTTCTTTAAAATTCCAATAATGTTCATACGTTGAAACTAACTATAAATTAATAATAATAATAATAATAATATAGGAAAAAGAATAATAATCTTTAAATATTTCTATAAAAACGCAACATTTCTATAGGAAAATCATTAACATATATTAATAGCAATTTATATTAACAAACAAATGAAATTCTTTATGCATAGAGATGCTCCCTAGCTGGGAAGAGTTGATGCTTTATGGTAAAAGAATTAATAAATTATGCTTGATATTATATATCACTTCTTTCTCTTTTCGTCATTTGTTATCTTCTTTAATTTAATTACCTTTTTTAAATTAATATTCGAAATTATTTCGTTAAATGCATGCCAATTTAGCATCTCTTGATACGCAAACACACAAATTTGCAATGTTATTTATTGCATTAGCACTGAATAAATGTATAGGTTTAGAAAAATCTAAAATCATAAACAACAGTGTTATTAAAATACAAGAAATAAATGGATGCAATGAAAATAGTCAAGAATGTTATGTATTTTTTGATTTGTAAACTAATTATATTTTCATGTGTTACTAAAAATGTTTAATGCTATGCCATTGGCATGACTCTGTTCTTCATGGTGTAGACGAATTAATTGGGTGCAGTAAGTTTATTCTTATAATTAGAATATAACTGCAATAGCAAATGTGATTATCCCTTATAGATATATATATATATATATTAAATAATTATATTACATATTAATAGATAGTATTTTGTATAAACATGTTTTAACATGCATAAGAAGAAGTAGAAATTTCCAGTATCTTAGATTGATTATATTATTTTGTCATATTTTTAACGTTATTATTAATATATATTATATAAAAGTGCATGTGCCACACATACACACACACATACCACACTCCAATATTTAGAGCACTTAATTCTTTATTTAATCTGATGTATTGTAAGTTTTATAAGCACATAATTTATGAATATTCAGTAAAAATATTATTTATTAGTTATACTTTAAAAACTATGTTTATACAATAATTGGAAATTTTTGTTTTTGTTTAATAATCATTTTATTATTATTATATGAAACAGGTACGGAAGAAGATCAGGAAGCCACTGATATGCTTGTTGGAAATGCTCAAAATCTTATGCAGAGTGTCAAAGAAACTGTACGTGCTGCAGAATGTGCAAGTATAAAGATTCGTACTGCTTCTGGTATGAAATTACGTTGGGTACGCCGTCAGCCATGGTACCAATATTAAAATGAAAGTATATAATACATTAGTATAAGATCAGAAACACTAAAGTGCTATAAAAGTTTTTATATGAAATTGAATTATTTCTTTTTAACAAGAATAATTATTATATTATTTTAGATAGATTTCTTTCTATATAATATTACATGCTTCATATATATATATATAGAGAAAGAAATAAAATAATGACATTATTTTAGTATTTTAATATTAACATTAGTTATATTTGTTCCTGGAGGAAAAATATTTTATTATAGAATTTTACATCACGATTTTTACTAAAATAAAGAATTAATAGTGTCAATTTTCTTCTAATACACATTGCATAAATAATAAAAATTAGAATACTATAAATATATTTTTGCACATTATATATTATGCGAAATTTGTATTAGATATGCTATTTGTATATATATTTATATATATATATATATATATTTTATGTTGATATATACCAGGGTAGAAAATGTGCATAATCACATTAGAGCAATAAGAAACTATATTTTTATAAAAAAAAATATGTGCTACTCACATAAGAAAAGTCCTCCAGAGTTTGATAGTATTTACATTAACATCGTTCAACTGGTGCTAACTCGTGCAATATTATAGTTGCCTACAATACAAAGTACCAATTTTAAGCATTATCATACCAAATATATGAAGCAATTTCAGTAAGATCTTGATTATGAAATAATCGTGCAATTGAAATAATTATATTTAATCTAAATAATCAAGACTTTACTCTATAATAATAAATACTGTAGCGAGGGGCACATATATTAAAATAACAGGCTTATAATACAAATTAAATAATTATATAATAATTAGATTTATATTTATAGAAATTAACAAATATATTTTACAATAACTTCATGTAGTTTTGTGTACAATAAAGTAATTTTTAATATGTAAAATTTAAATAGAAATTCTTGTTTTTACAAAAGTATATCTTATCTGAATAATATGTATAATTACTTTTATTAAAATATTTATATTTCAGAGAACGAAGTATGTGTCATCTCTATTAATAATAATATTCTAACCTTTATAATTTATAAATATATTTAAATATTCTTTTTTTTTTTTTCTAATTAAACCTAACAAACATATTCTACAAGCAAAAATAAAACAGTAATATCACATAAACATATAGTCTCTTAAATTCTCAGTTAATTATTACTTCATACTTTTGCTTATAACTTTTTAATAAAGTTAGATGCGTTTTATATAATATTTTTGTCTTAGTTTTGTATATAAAATATAATGGAAAAACTTACGTCGTATATATAAATTATATATATACATATTTAAAAAATTATATTTTTTTTTCTTTCTTTTTAACAGCATTTATTTTAACAAAGTTAATTTTAATATTGTTGATCTTGTATATATACCTGAGATATTTGTAAAGTTGTTAAGTATCGACAAAAGCATCTCTTTTTATTAAATGCTGCGAAGGAGCTATGGCACCAGGTATCTTGTTTTTAGGTATTTTTCCAGGACGTAAGTAAGGATTATCTATACCATCTTGCTGTGTAGTAGCCTCATTAGTTTGTTCTGCACCTTCACTTTTTACATTAGCTCCTAAAAACACGAATTTGCCATATACATATTTTACAATATTTTATTCGTCTTTAGTGTCTTGTTTCGTACCTTCCTCTTTTTCTTCTGCTTTCTGTTCTTTTTTCTTTTTAACTGGTGTTGGTTCAAATTGAAAGTCTTGATCTGTTTCAAATATTTGATCTTGAGGTAAAAGTGCAGACAGATAACTAGGAAATTGTGGTTTACAAGCTATTACTGTAAAAATAAGAAGAAATATCAAAAGATATAATTCATTATTTAAAATAAAATTAAATATATATATATATCATGCATGTGAAACAAGATTACTGAAAAATACTTACAAGGAAACATGCTGTTATCTTCTGTTAAAAATAAACTGTGCGTTTCTCCAGTTTTTGCAATAAACCTTGTTAAGGCTCTTTCGATATCTCGTTTTTGTGTAGCAGCTTTTTCTCTTATAGCTTCATATTCAGTTACTGGTTGTTTATGTGTCTATAAAACATCATACAATTGTGTTAATAATTTAGAAAAGTACCTATTAAAAAAAAAAAGATGTATTAAATCTAGGAAACTTACAGGTGTTCTGATATATGCATGTGGATCTGGAAAAGCTGGTAAATAATTTGGTATATGTGAGGGATGACTTTGTTTTACACCAGCTTGTAAAATATTTAATTGTTTTGACTGAGTTTGTTGTTGTAATGGAGGTAAAACTGTTCTATTTGATCTCTTTCCATAACTTTCTAAATTTTCTAATCTTATTCCCATATTTACTAATGCTAATATAACATCTGCAATTAGAGGTTCTGTTCTTCCAGAAAGTTCACAATAATTTCTTGCAGATTGTCCAACTTCCACGATAACTGCAAAAACACAGAATAGATATATAGACAATATAATTAAATATTACAATTAATATTTAGTTTTAGAAATAAAATTATTTTTTTTACACAATAACACTAATTCAATAATATAACCTACAAGATTGAAGCATCTCTGTTAGAGTTTCTAACACTTGTTTTTCACAAGTATCATAACCACATTCTACTAAAATACTACAAACAACATGATTTAATACTTTTCTTCGGGTATTAACTGATTGTACATCCATGTTATTTAAAATTAAAAAAAAAATGCACTTTATACTAATATTTATAGTGACTCTGTATGTATACTATGTGCTTTCCACATTGGAAATTCCAATAACTAAACAAACAGAAATATTGACGCATGCGCAAACGATATTGTGGTCCAATCCGACGAATAATTTAAATCTGATAATTTGATTATGATAAATAAAATAATATAATGCATTATATAATTACAATAGATTTTACTTTAAAAATAATACATAATGTCTTTTTTATTAACATTAATTTATAATATAAAATGTCAAAAAATGTATCAAGTAATGTCGCCTGTATCAACCAATAGCAGCACGTTATTTATTTGACGGTTTTTCATTCAGAAATTTTACTTATATTATAATTCCTGTTCTTTTCCCACTAACGTAATATTAGATTTTCTGTGGATTTTTTTGCTTCAATAATAATTCTACATTTAGATTCATTTAAATATACCATGCATTTAGTTATAATACAGTGACAGATAATTAAGAATTGATAATGGCATCAGGGTTAGAAAGCTACGTAAATCGTATCCTTTTCCTTCAATATATTGTTTTTTATGTAATATTTTTTCTATACAAAATAATATAATTTCTTTAATAACTTTACAGATACAGTTTCTATCATCACTTCAGATGGTAGAAACTTTATTGTAAGTATATTTAATGTTGTGTTATAATATTATTGTTTCATTTTGTAACAAATCAATTTAAATTGAAAACTTAACAGTTAACAGTAAAAATAATTTAATGAAAAATTAATTGTTTATTTCAGAAATACTAATGAAAAAAATAGTTTTTCTAAATATTTATTTGATTTTCAGCTGTGTCAGTGTAAAAAATAAAATGTTACTTTTAATAATATTAAAAGTAAGTTTTTCATCACATTATTTTCTAATTTTAGGGAACATTAAAAGGATTTGATCAAACAATTAATATTATATTAGATGAATCACATGAGAGAGTATATAGTACAACACAAGGTGTAGAACAAGTTGTTTTGGGTTTGCACATTATCAGAGGAGACAATGTGTTAGTATAATGATTATTGTACAAATGATAATAGATAATATTTTTATGCAACATTGATATAATGTATGCATTATAATATTTGTTTTATATAAAAACTGTTAGATCAAGAATAATATAAAAATTTGTTCTTAACATTTGTATCCTTAATATCTTTGATACAACTTTTTTTATGTATTATACAATAATATTTTAGGACAACTTGCAGTTCTATCCAAATATAAATATATATACTATATTTTAATTCTTATTGATATTCAAAACAATATTTAAATTACTTTGTTTCATATTTTACAAATTGTATATAATAAATAACCACATTTTAATAAATTTCTTTTCTTTTAGAGCAATTGTAGGAGAATTAGACGATGAAATGGATGCACGGTTAGATTTGTCAGCCATCCGAGCTGATCCATTAAGCCCTATCACGCATTGAAAAAGTATTTATTATATGAAATATTTCACCGATAAAGACAAATACATTTGTATTTGTACAAAAGATTAACTCTTGGATGATCATACAAATGTTCATGTTTTTATAATTATATTTAATGTACTTGTATTTAAAAAAGTTTGCAGAGCAAATACACAATTATTTACATTATTAAAATAAAGCCAAAAAAATAACATCCTATATCAATAAACTGTACAAATATCTTATAATATAATAAACCACATTTTTTGATAAATGTAATTTTGTTTCATGATATATAACATGATAAAAGAAAATCTAGTAATTGCAATATGTTAAGTAATTTAACATTGTTTAAATAATGTGTATATGTGTTTGCCTCGAAATTACATATGGCTTCATATCGTGATATATTTTTTTAAATTAAATTACAATTTTTAAAATAAAATATTTCGTAGACTGTACCAACAATAAACTCGGATTATACATTTTTAAATTTAAAGTATGATTTTTATCGGAGGTATAGAAATTTGTTTTATATTAATATATGCTGCAATCTACGTTGCATAATTTAATACAATTTTATGAAAATAATAATTTTCAAAAAATGACTCAATTAATAATCAAGTTTAAATTATTAAATACCTCCTAAAAATTACCATACTTGCACAAAATTATTTCATATATAACAGACTTATAAAATTGACACATTATTTTTTTTTTTTTATAAAAGGTAACATTTTTTTATATTAGGTTCGTATATAGGATAATTTTATTTATATTAAAAAATCTGGAAAAGTAAGTTGGACTTCGTGCCAATTATAGTACACAATATTAAATATAAATATGTTTTTTAGAGCTATGTATTACTTACTACATATTCTTTACTTATGGATATACAAAATATATTCAACAAAAGTCAACAGAAATGGCGTTGTTATTTATATTATAGGAAAAAGTAAGTAAATTAAGAATGGTATCTACATGTATATTGTATTACAAATTTTTTTTCAATTTATTATGTTCATGAAAGTTTATTCAAAGAGAGCTACTTCCTATAATTTAATTTAATATTTTAATGTGTGTGATTGAACATTAGATTTATAATTGCACCAAACTTTTTGTTTATATTATAAGATAATGATGTAATACAATAAATAAAAACAGGAACTAAGATATTATTTTATTTTTTAATCTATTAGCAAAATCTATACAAAAATTAGTCCTACAAAAGTAAGAAAAAAATCATGTAAAGAACATAATGTTTTTTTAATAAATCAGATGTTAAAATTTTGGATGGTGCATTTATAATTAACTTTTGTATAATCAAAAAGCAAAGATGGCATATTAAATATTTTTAATGAAATACATCATATGTACGGTACGCGCGTAAGTGTGTATATGTATTTTTATATTGGAAGACATAACAAAAATATAAATCAATTAGAGTACAATCTAATATTCTTCTATTCTGCGTATCTTAATTACTAAATGTCTTTTTGAATGAATCATAAATACATGATATATACAGATTTCCCTTAAAATTTACTTATCTGTATTATCAAAAACAATGTTTTCCAATTTTGTTTGTTCCGTATTGTGTTTACTCTATATTCACTTAGTCTTAAGAGTAAAACACAAGACAGTGCAATTATCAGTACTACATATACACACTGCCAATGTGTATTCAATTTTATATACTAATTATTATTATTTAAAGACAATTCCTACTGTCAAACATTTGTACAGTTGACACAATAAAATAATTCAAGCAAATCATATAGCTCATTGCATTATTCAGCAATGTATGTCATACCTTAATAATCATATTATATGAGTATAATGAGAATTATTATCAGGTACTTAAGTTATGTACCTACACAATGGATGAGCTATTTTTGTATGATTTATTGCATCAATTATTGGTCACAGCATTGGTCCTGTTACGATTTCTTCTCCTCACACGACCACCACGTCTACTCTGACTTGCGCCATTCCAATCAGGACCATTATCCATGACAAAATTTGAAGGATTTGGCCCATTTGGATTGAAGCCCATTAAGCTAGGATCTGCGGGGCCAGAGTTTGGGCCAAAATTATTAAAATTACTACCAGAATATGGAGGAGGTCCATCATAAGTAGGAGCAACATCAGGTCCAAAACCTACACCAGGAGCAGGGCCTAAGAGTCCAGCTCCATTATTGCGTTGTGCATTGTAACGTGGATCGTAGTTCATTTGATTTTGTGACATAACTGGTCCATTCATATTCATTGTTGGTGGCATGTTTGCCATACTGGTCATACTCATTGGAGGCATATTTTGTGGACCCATGGAAGGATTCATCATAGGACCCATGGGTCCCATACTTCCAAGCATTGGGTTTTGTGACATGGCCATCATATTTTGTGATCCTGACATATTTGGTGTAACAGAGATACCAGGGGGACCAAGAGCCATACTAGGTATTTCCATAGGTTGTTGCGGAGCACCTTGTATCATGGAAGCACTGACATTTTGTGAGGATTGATTAGAAGCTTCGAGCGCTTTTCTTCGTGGATCAGATCGAATTTGAGGAGGTGATTTTGGCGTGTCTGGTTTTATTGGTGGTGGAGACATAGGAGAATCAGCTATTTCAGATTTACTAACACGGAAAATTTTTCTAAGACGAGGATCGTACTTTACTTGTGGATCATTCTTTGTAAGCTTTAAGCCTGTATAATCAGGCCTTGGTATGTCAACAACATATACTTTATAAGTCATTGGAGGATGGGAATTGTAGCTTGCATCTATTTCAGTGCATGGGATATGCGAAGGAGCTGGTTTGAATGGTAAACTTAACATTTGTCGCAGATCAACATCCGATTTAGTAGATGTATCTGTAAATCCTGCACCAACTACTCTAAGATCTGTATCTCCAAATCCAGTTTGAAAACGTTGCCTGAAATCCATATCTTTTCTTCTAAGATCTTGATCTGCTCTAGTTCTAAGATCTATATCCATGTTTGTATCTACTGCAGTAATACCAGAGCTATAGATACTTGTTTCCAACCTAAGGTGTTTCGTTTCTTTTTTAGGATCTATTCTGCTTGGACTGCTTGGTTTCTGTTCATCTCGACGTTGCCGAGGATCTCTGGACATTCGAGGATCTCTAGACACAGGAGCTACCGTTGAACTTGTACCAGGTGACGACCTAGGACTGGATGTTTCATTTTCCATTTTAGAAATTTGACTTGAAACATTAAATGTAGAATTATTAGTTACTTTAGTAACAAGGTTATAATCAGCGTTATTTATATCTTGTGCAGATTTCAATTTTGAAACTAAAGATTCTTGAGTGTTTATGTTGCTATTCTGATGAGTTTGCAAAGTTTTACCATTTGTTGAACTCTGTGCCTTAAGAGTTGATAACAATTTCGATACTTCTGCACTAATATCAATTTTACTTAAATCTCCAAGTTTGTCAACAATAGCTGCTGGCTGAGGTATACTAGGTGCAGGAGATGCTGATTGAAATTGTTCTTTGATATTAGTATTTTGGTCTTTTTCAGAAGGTTCAGTTTCTTCTTTTGAAGCATCTTTCGAAGAAAGCACTATAGTTAGATTATCGCCATCGTCGTCGTCGTCATCGTCTGAATACCAATCTTCTAAAATATGATCCGTATTACGTGCATTGCTTTCATCTTCTACATTCTTAAAACTATCTTGTGCAGCACGTTGTTGCTGCTGAATACGCAAAAATAATTCTTGAGCCCTTTTTGGTAAATGAGATGGAACTTCTTGCTCTTCTATGGAAGGTGAAGCTACACTTGAAATGTTGCTTTGTTCATTCGGCATCGATGATTCTATAATAAATAATTGTAATTTAAAAATCTATATAAACACGTTCTTACTAAAATTGATTTGATTTATTTTGTGTAATCTTTTAATATTTTATTTCAACAAAAATTCTATAATGTTACAATACCTTTTTGTGGTTCTGCAACTTTCTCTTTATCATCATCTTCAACTGGCATTTCAATAACAAGTTCAGTTTCATCATCTTGATCACTTTCTTCGTCGAGTTTGGACTTACTGAGATTTGCAACTTCATCAGCTATACTAACTACAGGTGGTGGTTTTTTTGCAGATCTTAACACCCTCAAATCTATATCCTTTGAATTATTATCATTAGAGGATGTAGTTTTTTTCTTTGCCTATAAATTTATGATAATAAACTTATTAATATGAATGAAAGTTTTCCAATAAATTGTATAACAAATTTGTCTAAGATCTTAGCATATCTTACCTGCGCTAAAATTTCATCTTCTTCTACATCTTTTGTAAAATCTTCTTTATCTTTCAATTTATTTACAGTTGTTTTATTAGAATCTGCATTAGTTTCAGTGTAAAAATCCATGCTTGGAACAGATGGTTGCAATATTTGATTTTGTTGCAATTGTTGTTGAGTTGCTAAACCTAAAGCAGCATTAGGCAGTTGAATACCTAGATCATTAGCTGATTGTAATAACATAATTTGTTCATATGGTACTCTATCTTCATCTGATCCCCAACGTGTCTTCTTTCCAGAAGGTTTCCTTTCCCTAACAGTGCTTTTCTGTTGATTGGATGTTTCCTCTACAATAATAATTAAAATATTAACATTTGATCCTGATTCTTTACATATTTAGATTCTTTTGATTCTAATTAATCATATGCATGCATACTTTTTTCATCCTTGTTTTCATTTTTGTCTAAAGTAATTATTGGTGCAGGTACATTCAATTCGAATAAACTGGGAATTTTTGGATTCGTTGTATCTTGTCCTTGAGAAAATGTTAGAGCTGTATTATTTATCAATGACGATGCTTTTTCTCTACTCATACGTGGAAAGTCCCCAAGAATTTCTTTTGGTGCAGTTTCAAGATGTTTTAAGAGAATCGCTTTTACCTATAATAATATTTGAATATATATATATATATATATATATGTATAAAATTAAATTTTTATAAAATTTAATATATAATATTTGTCAATTTTTTACTCTATTAATAATTCTTATTAATTACCTGCTCATTTAAAGGTTGATGTGAAAATTTACAATTATCACCCTGAAGACAATTCATGCCAGTATGGAAGAACTTACATGGAAAATCATGGTGCATATAAAGACATTTGTCCCTTTTAGCACAACAGTCCATAAGATAAAACTTGCAAAGTTCCATCTTTCTGGGAGGTAAAGCATTATGAGAAAAAGGACAATCATCTCCTCTATGACATTTTCCTTGCATGTAATACAAACATATGGATTCTGGATCTTGTCCATGTTCATTACTTTGAATTCTTCGGCCATTTCGTTCATTTCTCAATTGTCCACGGCCTTTATTTTTTCCACCACGTTCATTCTTTCCACCTCTGCGACCTGAAATATTATTATTTATAGTACATTATTGCATTTATGATTTTTTTAGCAATATATAGATAAAAACTATTTTAATAAAAATAGAATACCTCCTCCTCCTCCTCCTCCTCCTCCTCCTCCTCCCCCTCCTCTTCCATTACCACCACGCTCACCACGCTGCTTATTCTCATTTTCTCTATGTCGGGTTATACTGGGCCTTTCTTCATAATCAGAATTACTATCAAAATTTTCATGATCATTAGTATGTCTGGGAGAGCTATTATCTTGAGAATCCTTTCTAATAGGAGAAGCACCACGTACAAAAACCATTTCATCATCATCTTCATTACCATTCTCATCATCACTTAATTTCCGTTTCTATAAATATTGTAAGAAAATTATAATAGTAATAGAGTAATTAAAAATGAAGCCTATAAAGAAATATTAAATGTAAAAAAAAAAAAGAAAAATCAAATAATTCATAATGTAACCTTTTGATCTTTTGAACGATCTTCATCTCTCTCATCACGAGCTCTTTTCCTGCTTTTATTCCTACTAGTTTTACTCCTCGATTTTGAATCTGAATTTCTACCCCCATCTTCCTCAAGAGCTGCTCTAATAGCTTTCTCCACATCACCTGCCCAATCATCTGATGGATTTTTATACTTTGAGTATCGTTCATGTTTAGTATTTGATCCTTGAATAGTTGTCTTTTTGTTTTTATTAAACTTAGAATCAAAATTTTTATTCTTAGATGCATCTTGTTTAGAAGATGACTTAGCAGGTTCAACTATTTCAGTTTGTGCAGAAGTAACTGGTTCGTCATCTTCATCGGAAGGAATTTCTCCATCTTCCAAGTCATTATCATTATTACTGTGGATAAAAAAAGAATACATAATTGATGATTAGAAATGATTCAACCAAATGCATCATCAATAGTAATAGAATTTTTTCTATCTATTGATGCATACAATTTATCAAATCAAATATGTATATAGAATTCAATGTCTACAGCGACAACAAATATGCTTCATAATTAATGTGAATAAACGTTACTATATTATTTTATATGCATTTATGTAACAATTATTATTTGAAAACGCTTTGAATAGTTTAATATGCATGTAATCAAAAAAATATAATAATAAACAAAATGAAATTTTCCTAAAATCTCATTGTTTGTAGATCATCAATATATATATATTTATATATCAATAATATAATTTTATCAAAACATTTACACGTTAAGAAAATATATATATTGTGATATTCTATGTATTAATTAAAATACATGTATCTTATTAGGAAGATCATATGCTTGAAGATACCATATATAAATTTGAGTAAATATAAATAGTTTTAACTAATCTCTAAATAATGAGAAGTATCATTACAATTTGTGTACTTTAAAGTTAAAGCCATAAATTGTGAAGAAATAGGTAATTCTTCAATGCTATCACCTTATCATAATTATTTATTACTGATGATTTTGCATGAAAAGAGCATTTCTTTAATCAAAGGTAGCATCCTCGAAAGATCGTTAAAAGTTCATTATTATTGTCAAGGACAAATTAATAGTTAAGAAAATCGAAACTACACGAGTTAGGTAAAGGGAGCCTTTGAAAAAACTTGCAGTCAAGTTGACTATAAGCAAACGAGGTTGCCAATACTATCCAAGCTGAAAACATTAAATACGTTTTGTCGGAAACGACTAATGGCATTTAACACGATAAAAACGATCAATGACTTTTATCTAAAAGAAACGCTTTCTCTCTTTCCTTATACTCGTATTTCTCACTCCCTACACAGACTAAATATAACATATTCGAAATACATAATAATAAGTAATCGAAATATCGTTTTAAGAAAAATTAATCAACACAAAATAATTGTGGAAGAAAAATAATAGAGAGAAAAAAAAAATGAAGTTCTTCAAATAAATCCGTCGTCTCTTCGTAGGCACAAATGACGACGCACACAGAAATAAATATACGTATATTCATAAGAGTGCGCGCGAGCGCACGCTTAATAATAACGTATTTAAATACGTCGTATAATCCAAAAACGTATTATTAAACCTTGTTACTACGAAGTCACATTATCAATACTCCGTTGTCTTTCTCTCTCTCTCTCCCTCTCTCTCTCTCTCTCTCTCTCTCTCTCTCTCTCTATGTCCTTCTTCGTTTATCTTGAAAAACAAACAAAATCAAACAGATAATAAAAAAAAAAAATCCAAAATAATCGATTAAGTTACCTCACCGCAACATAGTCCCTTTTAACATCATTATATAAACATTCATAATCATCGTCATGATTTTTCATCATCATAATCATCATCATCATCATCATCATTATGATCTTTCCTTCATAACTCTATAAGCATAAGATACATCATTTGTAACATCACATTTTTTATGAAGCATTATTATCATCGTTGCAGCATCGCTGATAACGTTTAAAAAGTCAATGTCATCGGCATCCGTCCAAAAGTTTCTTCGGACATACAGCGATGTGTTCATGTGCGTTATGTCGTTTTTCACACGACGCGCACGCTTATTTATATGTATACATATTTTTTTTTTTGAGCAGAGCGCACATACGATACGTTTCTGCGTTTATCGTGTTTATACAATGTTGTGTGTGTGTGTGTGTGTGGGATTGACATGACGCAATACGCGTGTTTACCTGTGTACTGTATATGTGATATTCAGTTTGTAGGATGTGTGTCGTAATATATATATATATATATACACATGACGTGCAAGTGGTAGAGAAACATATAAAGTCGATATCAACAAGACCGAAAAAGAAAAAGAAGAAAAGCATAGAAACTCTGTCCTCTCTCTCTCTTTCTCTCTCTTTCTTTTTTTTTTTTTAAAAACAATAATATCGAGTTTTATTAAATACAAGTTTTAAACTTGTTTGAATTTAGCATTAAAAATTCTCTCGCGATTGGCAGAGAACAGAGAAAAGGGTATTATTTCGTTATTTTTCGTAATTCATATTTCCTAGAGCGCGAGTTGAAATTTAAATAAAGAAAAAAATAAAAAGATTAATAAAAAAAAAAAAAAAAAAAAGAAAAAGAGCGTTACACGAAGCGCAATTTGCACATAATCTCATAAATAGTAACATATATTTATATTCACATGTATATATAGCCTACACATGTATATGTACGCGATGATATTTTACAACACATGGATACGTTGTAGGCTCGAGAAAGACAATATCATACCTCATTTTTGTGCTACATAAAAGTCTCTTTTTCCTAACTTTTAGTTGTAATGTTTCTTTCACTCCTGGATTTAAACAAGAAGAAAAATTCTCGTGTTGCAACCTTCTGTCCGTCTTCGCTAGAAAATAAAGCGGACGATAGAGGAAGAATTCTTAAAGGTTTTTTTTTTTCAAAAAGAAATAAATTCGCATGTATCTGCTGCTGAATGAAGGGGATGACTAAAAGGATCCCCCCGATCATTCACGGGAAAGAAGCATCGCACTAAACGCGCCTACGACGTAACATGTAAGGAAACGCTGCTTGACGAGTAGTATATGTACGTCTCAGTTGCGACGAATCCGCGTTCACGATAAAGACAACCTTGACCCCCTCCCGCCCCTTCGTACCCGCCCACCCTTTACGAAAGTTAACGCCTTTGTGCGCCTTTACGAATAATTCCAAGAAAAAAATAATCGTTTTTCATAAACGCAACAACACATTGAACGCCATGATGTATTTCTTTGTTAGAAATTGACGCATCGACGAGAAAACATATATATATATATATATACACTATTTCCAAGTAATGTCCTATTTTTAGAAAAAAAAAAAAAAAATAAAAAAATAAAAAAATAAATCGACGAATAATGTTTCCTCTTTTTCTTCATTTACCCTTTCTCTTTCTCTCTGCCTTGACTCTTTTTCCTTGTCACATCTTTCGGATGAGAACAAATATTGACCAAAGCGAATTCGCGAGAGGAAGAAGCCTCGACGTGTACGTACGAGTATATATATTGCGTATGTATGTATGTATGTATGTATGTGATGTATGCATGGATATGTGTGTGTATGTATGTATGAATGTGTTCGCTGGGAAGAAACGATATATGTATATATAAACGTCACGTATAGCGTCTTGATTAAGTATGTAGTGTAAGAGCAGCGGTATAGTAATACAGTAGAGTAGTAGTAGTAGTAGTAAAATAGTAGTAGTAGTAGTAGTAGTAGTAGAGTAGTAGTAGTAGTAATAAAAGTAATAGTGGTAGTAGTAATAGCAGTAGTGGTATGTATATAGTAGCGATACGACAGTCGTGTAAAAATTGTCTGTTTCGTCATTGAATAAAAAATGTGGAGGCAAACCTTTGGATTAGAGTCTCGGCCACGGAAACACTCTCTAATGCCATTGTTTTGTTCCGATCGATCGTGTTTTGTAACATACGATTTACCACTGTGGCCCGAAGTTGATCATTCGATCGATAAGCGCGACCACACACGACGGATCTTTGTTCGTGGATTCGCGTGCCTGTGTATGATCATTTGAGACTTTGAAAATAACTTAATAATGGGCAAACAAACTCAAAGGAAGTCCCGATTGTTAGTTTCTATCTTTCTCTATCTCGCTTTCTCTCTTCCTCCCTCTCTTTCTCTAGTTTTCTCTTTCTCTCCCTTTCTCTATCTGTGCCTCTATCTCCCTCTATTCTTTCAGTCTATTCATGCGAGCGCGAGCATATTTCCCACGAATAAAAATATTCTAAATTTTTAGAATAAAAAAAAAAAAAAAAGAAAAATTCTTAGCCTCTTTCCCAGCCCGAATTTATAAATCTGCTTTTAGAACGGGCCTCGTTTCACCAGACGCTTCTTTATCTCTTCTCTCTTTCTCTTTCACACAGAAAGAAAGATAAACCTTAATGACTGTACATATATCTATCTATATATCTTCCTAGAATATTTTCGTATTGTTATCTCACTTAAATTTGATAAGATATTTTCACTATATCTCTTTGTATATTTTTTAATCTATTTTATTAAATAAATAGAAAAGAAAATGGCGCGATACTTATCATGCCACGTCATTCCTGTTTACGTGGCACATGAAACGACCATTGTTCCTTTTGGATTTTCCCGTTTATGTACCTCTGTTACGCGTAACAAAATCTAACTTAAACAAATAATTGTGGGATGCGATAGGATATAGTAATCGTAAATAAAAACGAAAAACTAATATCGATAAAATAATTATTTGAACGCGTTTAAGATAAATCTATGAGAATAAAATTTATAATTCGGACAAAAGCCACGAAAAGCATTCCACTTCTTCCACTTCGCATCCCGACGTGATCAAATTTGTCGTCCTCCGTTCTTCTCTCCGTGACGTGGAGAGGGGGAGCCGGAAAAGGGATGGCATCTATAGATGCTCCCTTCCTGAAAAAAACGACCGCAAGAGGGCGACCGTTCAATGATTCTATACGTACTTCTATATATGTATATATTATGTATATACAATATATATATAATATATATATATATATAATACTATATATATAATATATATATAATACTATATATATAAATATATTATATATAATTCCGATATATTTTCGTTATTCTTTTAACGCGTCGATTGTTATCAAAGCAAGAATTAAAACCTTTTTTTTAATTCTAATCGATTCACGGATTCGCGTGATTATCGTTTCATGAATATCTCCGTCGGTGTAGTCGGTAACAACAACGCGACAATGACGTTACGCGTCTTTTCTTAAAGGAAATCTAATTAATTGTTCTTTCTTTAAGTCTCTCTTTACATCTTTCTTTCTTCTCTTTCTCACTCTCTTTTAATGTTGATAAGAGAGGAGATAATGAACGTTTGTGTGAACGAGACTAGCGGCCGTAGACAGGCAGATAGGCAGGCGGGCGAGCGGGCAGGCAGACAGGCAGACAGGCAGGCGAAGAATACGATTATCTTTCGGACAAAGCGTTACTACTAATTGTCAGCAAAGATAGTATAAAAATGTAGCAATTGTGAGTACAATGAGCGAAAACTTCAAATATCAAACTAAACATAGCCACATCTGGAACTGTTCTGAGCGGGCGGTTGCACGAAACCTGGGAAAGCGGTCGAGCAAGCGGGAGCAGGTCAGGGGTGGGGAGTCTAGCTACTTTCGCTCCCACCAATCGTAGGACGCACATACAGATCACGTGCTTCTCTACCCTTTATTTGGCCTTCCCCCTAACCTATGCCCCATTACTCTCTTCCCACTCCTTTCGTTCTCACTGACGCTCTTTCTTTACGTTCTCTTCTCTTCTCTCTGCCGCCATGTTTCCATCACCGCCCGTTCCGTTAGAATCGCATCATTCTGTGCGAAAGAAATTCCTGAAGTTGCCGAGATCGCTCCCTCGTCTCTTCCAACGGAATGGCGGGCTTAATAGTATCTACTACCTCTCCTGAAAACATCAAACCTGAAAATTGCTACTTTCGAGTAACGATCGTCACGGTTATCGAATATTGCGTAAACAGAAAAGCGCGCTTTGTTTCGAAATACAGACAATGAACATTCTTTTTTTTTTTCAATTATCGGTTACAATCTTGTTATTCTTACTTATACTAGATCTATACATATATTGATTATTCATTTATTTATACAGAATACAGAGAAATATAAATTTGAAATAGAAATTGATAAAAGTTATTCATGAAATTATTAATTTTATCTTAACAAGAGGGCATTATATAAATAACATAGAATATAAACAATATATTTTTCTCTTATTTTGTATAACGTTGTTATATTATAATACTGTACAATAGTTTGCGACTTGCCTTATAAAATTATATAAAAATATTTCATTATTTAATATAACTTTAAATAATCTTAATAAGTTACTCTTTTACTTGTTCATGTGAACGATGATGAAAAACAAATGAAATACCACTAGACCAACATTGTCGTAATGGAATGTCTGGTAAATGTCTAGGATTTTGACTGTGTCGCCAATCTGATAAATCAGAATTACAATCTGATTGTTCCGGTGGACCTTTTACTTCTATTCCATTAACACATCTTGTACATTTAAACCTATAAAATATAGCAAAATTAAATAAAGTATTTTAAACAACTTTATGATCAATATTAAAATTGTTTTTTTAAATTTACTTCGAATGTGTATCTGAAACCGTGTTTTCTTCTAACTTAAATAAGTCACGAAGATCGTTCAAAGTAAAATGTCTTGCAACATCATCTTCTTGATCAACCACCGTTGAACTCAATGCTTTTTTATGCGCTTGCCGTTGAAAAATTTTTTCCTCTATTGTACCAGTCTATAATAAATATAATTAGATTAATATTTTGTAAATAAAACAAAATTATGATTATTACATTGCTTACACAAAGAAAACGATAAACAAAACATGGTTTTTTTTGACCGTCTCTCCAAACTCTCGCCATAGCTTGATCATCATTTGCAGGATTCCAATCTGGATCAAACATGACAAGACGATTTGCACCAATAAGATTTAAACCACATCCACCAGCTTTAGAACTTAGCATGAATATAAAATCATCACTGTTTGGATCATTGAAACTATCTACTATTTTGGATCTTTTTTTAATCGACATGCTACCATCTAATCTCACATATTTGTAACAACGTTTATGAGATAATTTTTCGAATAGATCCAATGTTTGTGTATAATTAGATACAAGAACTATTTTGTCACGTGTTGTAGATTTAATGGAAGCTAAGAGACAATCTAATACCATAAATTTTCCTGATAATTCAGGTAAAATTTCCCTAAAATTTAAAAAAATGTATATATGTAGAAAATATTACATAATTTACAACATAAAATGTATTAGTTAAACGAATATACTTTGTACTGTAATTTGATGGTAATAATTTCAAAGCATTTTCGAATCCATCTGATTTCTCTAGTATTTTATCGTATACTAAATCAGGATGACAACATAATTTTTTCAATAATGTGATTGCAGACAATGCAGAAAGTGTTCTTCCACCTTTTTTAGAAGGTTCAGAGTTGTTTTCTAAAAAAAAATTGAAAAGTATGATAATAATTATAGTTTAATTTTATTATGAAATAAAAATCTACCATAAGAGAAAAATAAAATGATGGTACCTTCCATAGACTTTTTGATGCTGTCGCTTTGTATAAAATTTTTATAGAGATCTGTTTGCAATTTTCCCATTTTTATACAAACTACTAGCTCATGTTTTAATGGTAAATACTTTGAAAGTAAGGCACTAGTACGTCTAATAAGGCACTTATTAACAATAGTCACTAACTCTGACAATCGTTCTTGAGCTAATTTACGTTCATTATCTGTTGCTGCAGCATCTTGACCACGAAGTATTGGTATTTCAAATTTTCGTCTAAACTCCTAAAATTTGGAATTATTTTATGAATAACGTATCACACATTATTTCGTTACTAAATTAATATAATTAAACTTACCTGTGCTGTTCCTAAAAGTCCTTGATTTACAAAATGAACGAGAGAAAAATATTCCAAGAGATCATTTTGTATAGGTGTTCCACTAAGTAATACCCTCCTTTTAGCTTTTAGGCCCATAAGAGCTTGATATGTTTGATTTTCTGAATTTTTCAAACGATGTCCTTCATCGCATAATACAAGGCCAACTTCATCTTGATGTAAAACATGTGCATGTAATCTAAATGTTTCATAACTAATAATTAAAATTGGATTAGCACATCTTCGTCCATAAGTTTTCATAAAACCTGTAAGCTTGGTATCAATATCAGTTTTACTTCCACCATCTATCGCTAATGGTCGAACTCTGTTGTTAAGCCATTTAAAAATTTCATTGTACCAATTTTTAACTAAGGAACTTGGGGCAACGATAATTGCTTTTTCTATCAGTGGTTTACATTCTGGACCTTTAAAATAATTATATGAATAAATATTTGTATACTTTTCATAAGAAAAATAAAACAATAATCTATTGTTACCTTGTTTTAACAATGTCCATAAAAGAGTAATACATTGTAAAGTTTTGCCAAGACCCATTTCATCTGCCATGATACATCCATATGCATTTTCAATGCGTTTTCCTGTCACACATTCATACATAAATTTTACTCCTTCACGTTGATGTGGTCTTAGAATATTGCATAGTAAGGGATCAACAACTACATGTACAAGTTGTTTGGACCTAAAAAAACATCAAGTACTTTATATAACTGACAAGTAATTTGTATTTTAATTTTCAATTAATGTATTTGTCCTACGGTTACTAACGGATCTAGTTTTATCCTTTCGTGTTCTGATAATTCAGGAGGTACGTAAACTACTAATGCATTAGCTTCATTTGGGTCATGTAAAGCCACTCTTGGACCAGATAAACGTATGCCAAGTGTACGTCCAGATAAATGATATCCAGGAATTGGTATTTTAAATGGTTTACTTAATAATTTTCTGACTCTTTCTTCCTATGAATTAATTACATATTATAATAATATTTCTAGAAAATGTTATATCAATAACATAATAGATACAACTTACATGTTCAGATATTACACCTTGTGTGGCTGAAATATCTTTATCAGAAAGTGTCGCAGCCTTATGCTCAGGGATGTGTATATTTTTAGTATTATTTCTACATACTCTTTTGGAACGTTGGTTGATTATGGGTTGTGTTGGTTTCACTAATTCCACAGTATTAGATACATCCAAAAGCAAAGGACGTTTACCTCTTTGGCTTGGAGCCGAGGAACGAATCTTACATCAAACAAAAATACAATGATATACGTAACAATTTTATCACTTATTATAATATAATAAATAATCCTAAATTTGTCATAAGAAGTTCACTTTTTCAATAACAGAAAGTAATTTTACAAAGACAACATTCTTACACGATATAATAAAATTTAAACAAATAATGAATAATTGAAATCTTACCATGTTAATTATAAAGCAACTAATTATATATGAATTTTAGTCAAAAGTAAATTAGCATAAAAAAAGAAAACATTTTCAGCACGATGTTTAACCTCATCTAAACATATTCAAATTTATAACTAAGAAAACAATGGTAGAATCTTAAAGCAATAAAATTCCTAGAAATGAAATGAAATGTAAATATAGAAATGAATTTATTTAGAGTATTATAATATTTGATTTAATACATTATTTTATGAATTTACATATTTAAATAAGAACTGCAAGGAATATTAACTAAAACATTTTATTTATTTTGTATTTTCTGCATGATAATGTATTTGATGGTAACATTGTAAAGAAGGATAGAAAATATGGTGGAAATGATAAATAGCGCCAAATTCAAATAGCTTTATCTTTTGAGCTTTTTTTTTTTAAACTGGAATATTTTGCAGTACACAGGACAAAAAACATTAATAGGTAAAGTAGTATTGTTGTAATATAATCTATAAGTCGTTCTTAATCAAGAAATAAATTACATTATAGACTAAAAAATATGTTTCTATAACAACTCAAAACTATAATCAATGTATTATACCGTTCACATATAAGATACATATTTATTTGGTTTCTTTATTAATTTATTAATAGTACTCATATTTATTTGTGTAAAAAGTTTAACAACATTCTTTCTAAGTACTAGATTTTTTGACAATAACATAAAATAATATTATAACATTTTCTTATCTTAGACTGACAGAAACGTATAACACCACATTATTTTCCAGAAAGAAAAAAAAAGAAAAATTTGGAAGTATTAAATTACAATTTTGATGCTTTAAGAAATTAATGAAAAAATCTTGATAATAAACTAAGAGTTAAGCTTTTTTGAAATTATAGGTTAGATAATAATATAAAATAAATAAGTACATTATGGAGTACCATTAATTTCTGTTACTAATTACTATAATCGTAATTACACGATAATAAATGATACGGATCTGTCAATCTGTATGTTTATCTAAGTTTCAGAATTAATTATTCAATAAATAGATAATATATATATCAATCATAAATTACCTATTTAACACTTGACAGCTACAAAAATATATAATTCCGATATAGACTATAGCTGGAAATAAAATTTAAACGCCGAAACATCGAGAGTAGTAAAGAAAAAAAAAAAGAAACAACAAAAATTAGAATATTGCACTACATTCGCAATAATCATAAGAATAAATAGGTTTACATTGTTTTAACAATGAATGTGATCAAAATATATTACGATTTTCAGAGTGCTTATACTATAAAGTCATTTGTATTTATGTTGGTTCCTAGTTCTCAGACATAAACTTTTGTTGCATTTTTTATATACTTTCTTTTATACTTTACATTAGTTTTTACAACTTTCTCAAGTGGCTGTGTAAAGTATAAAAGCAAGTTGAACAAGAGTTTAATTATTATCATTGTAATATTTATAATTAATATTAATCTTATTTTCATTATTATATTATTAATATTATTATTATTTTATTATGTTATTATTATTATTATTATTATTATGTTATTGTTATTATTAACGATTTGAACTAAACAATCACGCATTGAATTTAATTACTGTTGCTTAGACAGCCACTTTCTGTACCGTAGCCCTTTTTTGCACTGTACTTATATCTTAGTATTAAAATCTAATTAATCTAATAAGTAAAGATCACAAGTATTTATCTTCAACAGTTCAAGATTGAATCTAAGGCAGACCACAGAATTTTATTATGCAATGGATTTAGATGAGACTGTATAAAAATGTACCTTTAGCAGGAGACGTAGTGTAATTGCGATAGACATTTTTTTCTGATACAATACTGTTTGATTTATAAACACGACTTTTAACTATTGTAGATATCTATGTGAAACAGTGATTTAATATATATCATAGGATACGATTTATATATATATATATCTAAGGAATCTGTCATCAAAAAAGGAATTTACTTGAATCACCAAGACTCTGGCTAAAGGTTAATATAAAAATGGCATTTTTACTATAGAGAACTGTTTTATATATAATTCACTGTTGAATGTAACTTGCGTTTTCAATGAACTATTATTTTTTTTTTAGACTGAGTGTAAAAATATATTAAATTCTGAATTGTATATAATTAGCCAATTATAAAAAGCATATAAATCTGATGCAAATTAAAGTGCTCCAAATACATGATTTACTTGCATTTAAAAATGTAATGTTACTTGTATGTTATTAATAACATTACAATTATCGAAAGAAATTTTTGTGGTCAAGTCCTTAATACACCAATTTATATGTGATAACTTTAGGAATCCTTTTAGTCTTATTACAGTCATGCAGAGAGAAGACATTCGACAAAATATTGATAATATACTCATTGTATATTGTTACATGTTCAAAATGCTATCACCTGAGCTGGATTCGCACAATCGCCTATTGTCATTCTATGCATTGCCATTTCTGTTATACCGTGATAATGAACAAAAGCAGCAGCAATTACTAATACGTGGAAGATTTGATGACTCTGAAACTAAAAACCATAATATTCTTTAATTTGTTAAGTTTACACAGATCGAGTTTATAAATAAATAACTTTAACTACAAATATATATATATATATGGAAGAAAGAAAACGAATATCAAAGGATCGTAATAAAAAATAAAATAAATAATGTAACAAATGTTTTAACATTTACCCAAATATCAAATTTTCCAGGGAAAAATCGTTCAGGTACTCTTAATGCATAAAATAGTGCACCCAAAATATACAAACTTCCCATTAGTATCAACCAGCCAAGTGATGCTTGACTAATTGCTTTGAACCAGCCTTCTGTTATAGCATAATGAACGGCAGGTATTACCTACGAATGCATTAAGTTATAAAATAATAATAATAATAATGTGTTATAAACTTTATATTATATACAGAAATACATACGTATGACCATACAGACAGTACTTACCCCACTAAGGCCAAAACCCATAAAGATGCCAGCTCTAAGAGGCCTATAATTGGGTTCACCAAATCTTTCCCACAATGATACTACAATACTTGTTATACCAAGCACTACCACCACGGATAAATAAATAAGTTTAGGTTGGTAGTCACAGTAAAAACCGTAATAAAGCCATGGTACAAAACTACCCATGATGAGCATAGCTATTCCACAGTAATCTAATTTGGAAAATAATTTCCCTACACATTCGCTGTGGCAGTGGACTGTATGAAAGGCAAATGACAATCCCAAACAAATGATAGCACCTGCAAAGAAGGTACCGAATACTAATTTTTCCTCCAATTGAATTTCTATGGGAGGTTGCGTTAGGAAAAAGATAGCTATGCCAATAAATGCCACACAACCTACAAAAAGATAAATATTATTAATATGTATAGAGTAACACAGGAATTCATTTCTTATTCAATTATTTTTCCCAATAAAAATATAGAATATTATCCTGAAATATTTGAATTTACCAAGTAAATGTGTCCAGATGTTGCCAGTTTCTGTATGAATGCGGAAAATACTTCTGAAGCAAGCATAAAATGATGGTAACGGTGGTCTATGACCAGCATGTAAGAAATCGTTATCTTGCAACCACCGAGGTAAATTTCTAAAATGGCATTGCTTCCAAGATGCTTCCCAGACCTATATAAATATATTAGTTACAAATGAATTTATAAAAAGTAAATTTATACTGCTCCGTAAAAGTTATCATTAATAGAAATTCATTTCACATTTGGATACTTTACCTTACGAACAAATTCCTCAGCTTGTTCAGCAGCATTATAAGCCAAGGCACCAAGATCAATTTCATCACTTAATACTCCTGCTTTTAATACTTCTGTCATCTAGAATTACAAATGATTATTGTCATATAAGAAAGACATAAATCTTTTATTAGTACAGTACCTCACAATCCAAAAGATGATCATCTTCAGGAGTAGATGGAAGGGGACATCCAACCCCATCCTCTTCCTCTGCCAAACAGCTGGCATCATCATCTTCTAATAATTCCTTAACTTCATGCAAACCTGGAATTTCGCTGTTCAGCAATATACGTTCGCTCCATGGTATTCTATGACGAAGTCCTAAGTCTTCTGATGTATTAGGATTATTATCTTTGTCTTCGATAATATCATTCTCGTATTGCGACATATTTTAGAAATATTATGTCCAATTCTTAACCTACAAGACAATATAACCATTTATGTACCTAATATTTATTTGTTTTTCTTTTTTATAAAACAATTATTTCTATTTTCATATTAATACATAAACAATTGTATTGTCACTGATTTCGAAAAATAACGAATTTAATATTTTTAATATAAAATTTGAAAAAACATTTGTCGACGTTTAATATTATTAATCACGAACGAACGTAATATATAAGATGTTCACAGCTGACATATTAGAAATATTGCGAAATTATACATTAATTGGCACTTGTATATTACTTAGAGGTTACAACTTCTTATATAACATGGTATAGTAATTATATATTTTTGAAAAATTAATTATAACCTTGTTATTTTTCAGCTTATCACTACTAGAAACTATTTTACCGATTATGTATAATTTCCATGTATTAGATGATACGTAATAAAAATTTCGTTTTATTGAGCAAGAATTTATATCTAAATATATTTGTATATGTATCAATAAATCAAATCTATGTAAATTACATGAAATATAGAACAAAAAAATGTTCCGATCAAATAAATATGTATATATATATATATATATATACATAATACGACGACACATATATTACGTTAATAGGTATTAATATTATTAAAATTAATTTGCGTTGTACCTGTTGCGTGGTAAATATTTTTCAAATTTAATTACATTTGAATATTATATAATAACAGTAAATAATTTTAAAAAGATATATCAGAGCAAATTGAACACACCACTACGAAGTTTTAGTGTCCACGGAATTAGCAACTCTGCCTGTTACTACCGACAGAATCCAAAGACGTCAGATTACATATAATATCCACGTGCATCGAAGTATATATATGTGTGTGTGTGCGTTACAGCAGCGCGCGCGCGGGCGCGTACGCAAACAAATTATATATATATATATATATATTTTATATATTATGTGTAATATAATTGGTCTATAGTTACTGTCAGAAACTTCTAGAGAAAGACTTATACCATTATAAAGACTATTACGAATTTTTTATAGTCGAAGTCCAAAATTGTGTCATCAATGGAATATAAAGTTTATCTCTTTTGAAGATAAACTTTAAATACTATGATAAAACGAAAGAATTAGATTTAGTAGAATTTTAAATGTTTTTTTTACGAGGAAAATAAAATGAAAATTAAATATTGGATAACTAATCTAATATACCATACACATTGAAAAGTTAGGATTATTAAAGATAATTATCAAAATATATATATATTAAAATATAATAAATAGAATATTATTGCCTTTTATTAATATTACGAAATATTTATAAGTAAATATTGTAACTTAAAGCTTACGTTTTCCACACACACTACGTGTGAATGAATATAATTTCTATTAACAAGATACCCCATATAAGATCGAATAAAGAATACTAAACAACGAAATGTAACGCAACCAATTCCATAAACAATATATTGTAAATGGTAAAGAATGAAAAGTTTGTCCTTAATGCGCGTTATTCGTAGCAGTCACACCGTAAACTAATCGATAGAGGGCACCCAAAGAGCCAACCAGAGTTGATCACTAACATCTCATTGGTTGAAAGTTACACCAATAATATTACCGCTATCTTGTATTAAGGAATAAAATTTCTTTGTTATCAAACTATATGTCTTGGTTCATTACAAAAAATACTAATTAAAACTTTATGTGATGGAAAATATAAGTTCTGGTAAATTAGCGAAGCGCTTTCGCCAAATGTTTAATATGTTTGAAAACCTTACCCTTAATGTTTTGCTCTTAGAAATGTATTCTGATTGGTCGTAGAAAAAATATGTTGGATAATTTTATTATTTACAGTAATGTGTAACTTCTACAGATGACTTGAAGATGATTAAAGATGTATACTTGTGCTACCTTTTACATATAGCTAGGAGTATTTCTTAATTTTATATATGTCAAAAACTAATGTATATTTGAAATGAATTTAATATTATTTAAATATTTTTTAAAAGTCTTTAAACTATGATTGGATTTGAATGATTGACTTTAATGATTGACATTATTTAAGTAAATCATTTTTATTTGTTACAATATAGATAGATAAAACAACAATGTTACTGTTTATTAGCAATTCTTATCAGAAGTTTATTTGCAATCTATTAATAAAACAGTTCTGTTAAAATGTTTTTTGTAATAGATTATAATACATTTCTGAAGTATGTTATATCTGTTTCTATTAAATATTATATTTTATTATATAATTGAAAAAATATACCTAAGTTTATATATTTTTTCTTGATACACTTTCTGTTATTATGAATTAATGAATTAATTTAAAAGGACTAATTCAAATATCAAGTCATATACTTTGTCATAGTTAGAAGTATGATGCATTTTCTGTAAAGATGGATATAGAAATTTTGTCAAGATATACTTATATAGCATCAGTCGTTGCTATTTATTGGTAAGTAATGATTTTACATATATAATATTGTTTTTGTTTTAATGAAATAATACCAAAATATTGAATTATTTTTTAGGATTGTATCAATTTTGACAGTCTTTGTAAATAAGGCACTTCTCTCTAGTGAAACTGTAAATTTGAATGCACCATTATTTGTGACATGGTTTCAATGTATTGTGAGCGTTGTTATATGTGTAACTCTTAATAATTTATCTACATTGTTTCCAAATTATTTTAAATTTCCCAATGGCAATCCGTTTAAAAAAGAGACGATTAAAAAGGTACTATTTTTAAATCTTGTTTTAATTCTATTATAAGAATGTACTAGATATTATTCCTTATTTTATAGATATTACCATTGTCCATACTTTTTACTGCAATGATAGCTTCAAACAACTTATGTTTGAAATACGTTGGAGTTGCATTTTATTATGTGGGCAGATCATTGACTACCGTATTTAATGTTATTTTTACTTATATAATTCTTGGTAAGAATTGTGTCTGTATAAATACTAAAAATATACTATATAAAAAAAAATACTAAACAAATTTTGCTTTTTCATTAACAGGACAAAAAACTTCAATGAAGAGTATTTTATGCTGTGCTATGATTGTCGCTGGATTTTGGCTTGGTGTTGATCAAGAAAATGTTGCAGGTTCTTTGTCTATTTTAGGAACGATATTAGGTGTAGTTGGATCATTAACACTCTCTTTATATTCGATTCATACTAAGCATGTTCTTCCAGCAGTAAATCAAAATATTTGGTTACTTTCTTATTATAATAACGTATACAGTATTTTCCTTTTTATACCCTTAATGTTATTTAATGGTGAACATTGGGAAGTTTACAATTACGACAAACTTGGTGAACCTTTTTTTTGGAGTGCAATGGTCATAGGTGGTGTTTGTGGTTTTGCAATTGGTTATGTTACAGCTCTTCAGATAAAAGTAACATCTCCTTTAACGCATAATGTCAGTGGTACTGCAAAAGCTTGTGCACAAACTATTTTAGCAACATATTGGTTTAACGAACACAAGTCATTTTTGTGGTGGACTAGCAATGTTATTGTTTTAAGTAGTAGTGCAGCTTATGCAAGATTTAGACAACTTGATTTAAATGCTGAGTATAAAGCAGAAAGATCGCTATTAAAAGTATGATATTATGGATTATACAGTAGGATACAACTAAAGAGAAAGTTCCTACCTTATTTCCATTTATTATAATTTATTTAATTGTTAAACTTTGTACAATTTTTTGTTATAATAAATATAATATAAATAATATTATTATAATATATATTATAAAATAATGTAATATTCATAAATATTTGTGTATACTTTATATGAAAATTATATAAAAAGTAAAAATTATCAAAATCTAGATGCAAGACCGCCTCCACGGCTATCGGAATGACTTGTTATCAAATCTTTATGTTTTATAATAGCATTTACACTTTTTGATATTGAACTGGCATCAATTTTTGAAACAGGCATTGATAAATTTGATTTATTTTGTAATACTGTTTTTAATATGTGTGATTGATCATTTTCTATACTAAGACCATCAGATAAAAGATAGTATCTAAAAAATAAACAGTATAAGTATATATATACTCATATATACATATACTTATATATATATAGTTTAAAATGGATATACCTTGGATGCTCAATGGCAGTAGAAACATTCAAGCCACGTACTATCAAATGGTATAAAAGTTGACTACTTAAAATTGCATCATCAGTTCCTAATACTCCACGTAATTCACATGGCTTTTCTTCATTATGGAAAATAATTGGAAGTAGAGTTGATAAATCGTTATCATTACCAGTTTTATCTAATAAAAAGCCAGTGCCAGTCATGTGAATCGATCCTAAAGGTGCACTTAATCCACTGCATAATTTAAATAAAAAATTTAATATATATTTTATTTTGTATATTATGTATAATAATATAGAAAAATACTAACGTTAATACACTGACATAAGTATCTTGTCCATCCATCACCATAACACCAGTGTATCTTTCTTGTTCAACTAAAACAAATTGAATGAATTAACAAATTTATAATTTTTTTTATAAGTTATGTTTATTACCAACCATTTTTTATCGTGTCTGATGACCTTTCATTAGAATTCAATAATGTTTGAGCAACAAGAGCCATAGTTTCAGTCTTTGATGCCATTTCGAATGATATTTTGAGATCTTCTAATGCATTTATAGAAGTTTCAAAATCAAATACACCTGAAGGATAGTATAATGAATGTTTATAAAAAGAAGTTTTTTTCGCTATACTTATCTCAGGTTTGTAATTTGCCAATTGTAATAATAATTCCTCTTTTTTAACTTCATCGCGTAAAAGTTTCAATGACAAAGTCCCATTGTATAAAACTGAAAAAGAAATGATGTTACATGTTACGTATATATTATCATAAATGTACATAATAATGAATCTTCAAATTGTTTACCAATTGTGCCATTTTTTGCAACAGCATCTAACGTATCTGCAAGATCATTTAATCTTAAAATATTGCCAGCATTTACATGACCATAAAGTATCCCATAGTCGCTATTATTTGATAATTCATATTCCAATTCTTTTGATATTACAAATCCTGTTCTAGCTAATTTTGCTGCTGGTTCTATAAGTTCATTCCATGGTAAAATTCCTTTTAAAATGTGAGCGGATTCTAGGCCTTTCAAAACAGCAGGTAAGCGTATTCCTATTGTGCCAAAAATACCTATTTTTTATAATAATAAGAATGATTAAAATCGATTAAACCATCAATGATTTTTTAAATACAATATTGATTAATTTATACTGACCTCCGACAGTATTGTTGGCAAAATTGATGACTAATGGTTCTGATTTATCTTTATGACTATATAATATCATATAGCCACCTCTGAAGGAATTAAAATTGTATATATATATTTAACAATATATATATTCCTTAAATTACTTACCCACCAAGACCTGTTTTATGTGGAGCTACTACTGTCATGCATACTGTAGCTGCTATAGCTGCATCTATTGCATTACCTCCCTTTCTCAATATTTTAGTACCTATCTGTGAGCAATTTGTGTAATCTGTGGCAACAGCACCATGAATACTACCATTGGCCTAATAATAAACATTAATATTTATAGTTTTGTTTTTGAGATCCTTATAAAAAAAAAAAACAAAAAAACAAAACAAATATATTAATTTGTGTTTAAAATGTGCTAATAATATGTATTAAAATATGTACCTGCAGTAAATTACTAGCATAAACCAATTGTAATACTAGTATAGTTGTTATAGCGAATGATAAAATAGCGAAACAACATACGATTAATTTCATACCACCTCCACAACACTGGCTTAATTTACATTTGTTAGTTTTGTCCTGTGTCAAGGGACATTCTTCTGTTAATCCTTCTAAAAATTTAATGTTTATTCAAAGATAAAACGTGATATGTTTTAATAATTGATTAAGAAATATTTTCACAACATTTTTTGAATATATAATTAAACTTTATTAAACTTACGTCTGTCGCAATAACTCATTTTTCAAATTGATAATTATGCGATTAATTATAAAGAGCATCTATGTTTATTTTAAATAATATTGCTTCCTTCTATGTAAATAGGTGTTAGCATACTGTGTCAAAATAACTGTAAATTCGATAACCTCATTTATGATTCTAGTTGAATCTATTCTTTTCCTTAGACGTATCATCCGAAAATTATAACAAGTTTTTCTTCTATCGCACAAAGTAATAATATTTAAATAATATTTGCAAAATTTAAGAGCTTTTGCTTTAATATCAGATTCTTGATTTAATTTGTTTATTTTTGTATACTTTTGCGTTGCCATAAGATGATAACTCCAATGTAACTTACCAGATGGAGTTGCGATAGAATTAAATACCCAACTTACTATATACAATTAAAGTTGTATAATAAAATTCTGTAACTTGTATTAAATTTGTGCCAATGTTTATATTAAATATATATATAAAAATTATAAATCAACATAAATCCAATCAACTCATTATTTTACTCACCAGTAAGTCAATGAAATATAATATAATAAGATATATATTTTTTTTTAAATAAATGACGTAATCGTACAACGAAAAAATTGATAACTGACTCTATTAAATTACGCAGAAAAACTAATTAATAAAGATAACATATAAAAAATCAATATTAGGATTTTATCAATTGAATAAAATAATAGATACTAATACATTGAGATGACAAATTTCGTTGCATGAATTCAACTATCCTCTTATATTCTTAGTATTAAAAATGTTTCCCTTTTATTCTGTAATAACACTTATTTTTTTTTTCTTTTCTTTTCTTTTTAATGATTTCACGTTCTAGTTATACAAAAGAAGGCTGAGTTCTTTATAGAGAATAACAGTAATAATGGATGCGAACGCCATAGAGGTCTTGAAAGTTTCGCAATTTGGTGTAGCTCCGTTGCTAGGTAATTTTATGTATTCTTCTTAAGGAGAATGGTACTGACCTTCTCTTTCTCTTTCTCTCTTTCTCTTTCTCTTGATCGTTATCGTGTCACAATGGTAGTAGTACGGTCAAGTAATTTTCAATCGTAATAACAACGTGAAGTAAAATATTATAATATTACAAGGAAAAAAGGGCAAGTAGCCCGAGGTGTATACGAAAGAAATCTTCATCGAACCGTGTTTTTCTTCATTGACAGAGAAACTGGTATTCATGTTTATGTATACAAGAAGACGTATCATTTTACGATACGCAAATAAACGCGACATTACCCTGACTTGACAAGATTGTCGTTGAGTTTATAATAATAATAATAATAAAATAAAATTAAAAAAAAAAATAAAACCACAACGCATCTTTCTGGAGCATTAGGTAATCTTACATTCTCTAGTAAAGTCAGGAACAGAATTAATGATCACGATCAATGGTTGTTTCGTATTAATTGAAATAATTTAAAAAGAGTCTTCTTTTTCTTTCCATACCATCAGATTCGGACCTACGCTTATATGTTCTGTACAGTTCGTTATGAGATTTCTGAAAATGTAATTATAATTTTTTTTTTTAATACGACGAAAAATTATAATATCATTATGTCGTCGTTGAATATACTCACAAGAAAGGATCTCTCAAAATAAATGCTCTTGGTTGCATTAATTTCAAGTGATCTCCATTATTGCATAGAATTTGTGCCATTGTACTCTTACGAATTTCTTCCAATTGATTTATCGTGAATGATCCTGGCGTGTTACCATTTTCGTACCAATACCTATCGCCTGTTAAAATAATTTCATAAGACGAGATTATCAAAAATAATGTTTTATTAGTCATTCTAATGAATTTAACATTAAACCTACCGACATTTCATTTTTACAAATTACAGGACGCGATCATTTGACCGCGCCTGGTAGGTTTAGTGTTAAATGACAGATATTGATTTTCTATTACCCAAACGAACATTTCGGAAGGTACGTCCTAACAAACAGAGGAAAGTTGGTCCAAGGACTGAATTAGCCACTGGTGCTTCCGAGAGTGCTCCTGTTACTAAATCTATGTCTTCAGCTTTCCTATTTCAGAAAGAAAAAATATCAACTTACGACTTTTCAAATGATACCTTATAAGTAAACATATAATATATTTTACTTGTAAACTTGTCGTAATCTTTCGACGATGTCCTTGGCTATTGTGCCTTTAAGATCCTGAAAGTTGGTAACGTCTGGTAAACCGCAAAATGTTCGCCATTTGACGTAAGATGGTAAACCATGATCCCTGCCTTGTTGGATGATTTGAGCAGCATAATCAACGGGCACGTCGTTACTCTTCCCATCATGGAAATACCGCTCCAGAAGGATTTCGTTCAAGCCGGGGGGTAGAGGCTTCCTAGAATGTCCCGCTGTCGCGGAAATTAGACCTTGCATCCTAGATCGTCATTAAAACCAAGTTCTCATGGGACAACTTGTCGGAGAATCTCCTGATGATTTTTCTTTTTTTTGCTTTTTTATTTTTCTTAATCAAGATTCCGTAGTTAGACGAAATTTTTTATCTTTCTTCAAATGTCACGCTGAATATATGCGTATACGAGGTGTGAATGAAACATTTCAACGACTTTGTAATTTTTGAATTAATTATGTATGAGAAATAATAATATTTTAATAAAAAAAGCCACGAATAAGATATATAAATATCAAATATAAATTTTTGTTTTTTTCGAGGATTAAGAACTATATAATATAATATAAAATAATTTGTTTATAACTAACAAAGAATATGTTGATTATTAACATTTTAATTGCTTTAAACACAATTTTAAAACACCACATATACGCACATATGTTTGTAGGTACTTATATATATGTACCTATAGTACATAAGTCCAATAACTTTCTATTAATTTTTATTTGATGACTAGCAAAGTTCAATCGTAACAAAAAAGATACGAATAATTTGAACTGACCTGTAGCTCCTGCTATCAATCGATCGATCGCACCCGCCTCATACAACTCTTGAGGTGCGTAGAAGGCCGAAAGGAGAGATCTTTCGCCAGATTTTAGAGCGGATCTAGAGTCCACAAGATCGAGCGTCTTCGGTGTTAATGCAGCAACGAAGAAAAGACCTGCTGAGGCGGCCGAATTTGACAGAGTTGCATCGGTACGTGAATCGTATCCTCGAAAATGTCTTTCATGGGATAACCGCAAGTCAAATCTTTTGGTTAAGAAAAAAATAACAAGAGCGTAAAATCTTCATGAATATATTGATAAATAATGATAATGAAAGTAAAGGTTATATATATATATATTTCTTTCATATGTATGACAATTCGTTAGAAATAAATTTATAATATGAACATGATCGATTTGATGTCATGTCGTGATATTAGTATGATTAACGTAAGATGTAACGGAATGAATAATATCAGAAGACAGGGAGTAAGTACAAAGACATGTGAACAACTTGACAAATGGAAGTACGAGGGAGGCTCAGTGTTAAGATGAGCAATCTCTGATCGGTCCGTTGGAACCTTAGCGTTCTTATCTCTCAACGTATAAGTTGGCAAATGAACGGCAAAGGGCAGCAGACGAGTCGTGATCGACATACACGTGCAGAGATATTAATAGCTCGGCACGCTGATGCGATCAAGTTAACGGCACGTTTATACTCGATTTGCTGTCTCTTTATGGAAATGCGTTAGCGTTTCGACGCATTGCTTAGAACAGAGCAACGCCTTTAAATCCGTTGAGATCGATGTAACTGTTCGTTTACGGTTAACAAGTTACGGGACTGTACAAGAAAAAGAGTTTAAGTAAAGGTTGAAAAAAAAGAGGAAAAGAAAAACAGTCAAGAAAAAAAGAAGATAAGAGAAGGAAAGCCTACTTGTTCAAAGTTGTTTCTCCAAGTATGACTGGTAGGAACTCGTTGTAAGTTATATGTTGCATTTCTGCGATGACGATTCTTCTAGCTTCCTGATAGAGTTTCTCGTCGTCCCATTGAGGATTCAACTTGGCCAATTGCTCGGCTACTCGATTGTGTTCACGAAGAAAGATTACATGCATCAATGTTAAGCCAGGATGTTCGTTCACTCTGGAATCACCACTGAGGAAACAAGGGAAAGCTTTATTCACACTTCTACAAGTTTCAGACTCCGGTGATGGCATTGGTAAGTTTCTTCTTTGAGTATTCAACAAGCCACCTTTGCCCGATCGCAAGGCTCTCGATGTTTCCTCCGAGCTACCGTATAACGGAGATAAATCCAAGTAAGAGGAGGCTTGATTAATCTGCTGTCGTGGACCCAGCTTGCAAGCCTGTATTTATTTGATTCTTCACAATGACGGAAGTTATTAGAAGAAGTATATATTAATTGTAGGAGATACTTACATGTAAGGAATTACCAGGATGTGGTGCAGATCTAGAATACTCCATACAGCCAATCGCATTATCGGCTTGAATAGGGAAACATTCGGGATGAAAATTTTCATAATCAACGTCGCAACATTTTAATCTAGTACCATCCGGTAGTTCCATTCTAGGTGTATGGGCTAGATCGTGAGCAAGAAATTGGGCGAATAACGCTGTAAGTGCCATTAAATATGGGTGCTTTAGATCTTGACCACCCGAGTGAACACGGGAGGAAACTTCCCTGGCACTGGGTAAATTGGTTCGTGGTAAAGACACTCCATCTTGATATTCCGGTGGTAGAAATCTAACATAGGCTTCCAAAGCAGCACCCCAGGTCGGATGTAACACGTTATTGCATCTTCCAGTGTGTGTTCTATATTTTGGATCGATCTTTTTGCATTCAGACGTGATCTTCAAAAAATTTGGAGGATCAGAACAGCCAAAAGCAACAACTGAAGGTAGAACCGAAGAAGCCTCTTTTGAGGACATGTTCAAAGCTTCTACTAACATCACAGCCATCGTTTCGATTCGTAAAGCCTTCCTTGAAAGATTTAGAGCACCTTCGGACATTTCATGAGAAGCACCAAGATACCATGAGGGTGATCCTCGAGTCAGATGTGTCCTAGAGTTTAAAATAGTTTGTTCCGCTTGTTCGTACCTCTCCATCGAGGCATTCGTACGCCTACCCAGATCTTGCAGCATCCTTAGCGGCAAGGTCGTACTCTCAGCGAGCGCCAGCAACGCGAAGAATCTGCGGATCGGAATCTAAGGATAGAAAATACCTACTTATCCACTTTCGCAGCATGGAATACTGCAAACTCCTTCCTTTTACACGTTCTTTACTAATATATCTCCTATAGGGTATACACTCTTTTTATTATTTTCCCCTTATTATTATGCAGCGATTGTCTTGGCAAATTTCAATGACCGTGTTGCACCACACAATCCGACAGTGACGTGATACGATCATATTCGAAAGAAGACAATCAAAGGGGTGGCTAAGAACATATGTATTGCATATATAAGGATTTGCATCCTAATGTGATATTTGTATTTGCATTGTCTTAAATAGGATTTCATTAATCTTGCTAACTTCGATATTTATTATCGATCCTTAGTTTATTCATTATATTTTTTAAATTCGTTTAAGAATTTACAACAATAAATATATATATATATATATATTCAATTTTTACTATTTGTTTCAAATACTTTCACAGATTTTCTCTTGAATATATTATAGAAGAAAAAGATTGAACTAATCAAGAGAATATTATACATATGAGCTTGATTTAAGAATATGTTCTAAAATTTGATGCGATTTTCTTTACACTAAAACGTTGCAATGGCAATAGTCGAACGTATTATTACATGGATCCTTTCGTCGTGTATTGTAATGAACTCCGAAGACCTTGTCTATAGGATGGCATTTCGCCTCGTTCCACGGGGGCCATTGTTCGCGGCAGAACGTTCTGCTGCGAACAATTTCATTCATCGCGTCGCTCGAGGCTGATTTCTCGGTACCATCGCACCTACTGATTTTTCGATGGTGGGAGTTTGTACTCATCAATTATTATATAAGATCGACAAACCAATTCGAGGTCTTTGTAGGAGGTCGAAGTTATCTCCTAACTGACATTTAGGATTCTTCCTGGTTCTTTTATCGTTTTCGTTACATAACGACACTCTTCGCACTCCTATTATTTAACGAACATTCAATACACCAATATTTATGGAATCGATTTCTTAAGAATTATCAATCAACAAACTTCTCTTTCGCGTGATCGTTCGTCTCTATTCTAATTCTTTCTTTCTTGTTATCCCGGAAAATCGTGAGACTGTAATTACGATATTTCCTCTTAACTATCTTTGATGATACACGCGAACGGAAATACTTCGTTAGAAAAAATAAATAAATCATTATTATTCATTAATACTTGTTTCTAATAATTAAGGATCGAGTGATTAATTATTATCATGATTATTATGTTAGTTGTAATTCTTAAAATTCGAATTCTGACATTCGAATATTGACAATATTCAATCTTCTGTTACTATTGTTATTATTATTATTATTTTTTTTAAAAACAATATGCACACTGTATTATTTCATTATCGATCTCTATTTAAATAGATCTCATTGCACGCAAAGAATGCAACGTGCTAACCTTTTATACGTGAATATATACATACATACATACATATATACATACATATATATATATAAAGAAAGATTCGGACGGAGAGCATGAAATACAAATTGTTATAGTAATATTTTCGCACACTTTATAATACTATAATTTTATAATTTTGTGCTTCTTTTTTCTCTCTCTCTCATATTTCATGTTAGAAAATATTGAAGGATTTTATTCAAATTTCATTATGAGATTTGTGCTATTTGTGCAACGGTAGTATAACATGACTAATTTGATTTCGTAGTACAAGTGCTAACTCTAATGTAAATGCCTACACCAAAGTATTACTGCTCAGTAATTTTTTCGTTACGTTCGTCAAGAAAGGTCAGTTACGTCTTTATGCATGGAAACGAGTGAAAGCGGAGCATACTTATATGAAGTATAATAAAGACGAAGAATAAATATTTCTTTCGTTGATTGTATCATCGATTAAAGATTTATTGAAATATAATCATCGATCATCGGGATTAATATATATATATATATATATTTTTTTTTTTATTATCATTTTTACATTATAGAAAAAGATTGAATATATTTGTAAAAAAATACGCATTTAATCATTTCTAAAAAGCATTGATGTGTGCTAACAAAGTTGCCACATGTTTTTAATTGATCCATACGCGATTAATTGTATATTATATAGTTTTAATTAAAGTTCTTTTATGGAACGTAATTTCAATAATTTCAACTTCCTACGATCAACGAAGCATTGAAGGATAGATAATCGCTATTATCATCAGTTACGATTTATCTTTTTGACGAGTTCGCGCGATCGCTAGAGATGTAGCATAGAAACCCGCGAAGACCGAATGATCTCACGTTTCCAATATCAATTAACGTCGTCAAACTATAAAGAAACTTAGATTATTCGATTAGTCTTCGAAGAACATATAAATTGCTATCGAACTACTGAAGTATTCAAAGTACGAAAGAGGAAGAGAGAAAGAGAGAAAGAGAGAGAGAGAGAGAGAGAGAGAGAAAGAAAAAGAGAAAGAGAGAGATAAAGTTAGATATAGGAGGATCGAAAGGAAATTTAACTTCACGTTAATCGAATTGTTCCTGGGTAAGCAGCAGATTATTAATACTCTCGTTTTCGTTTAATCCAAGGAATGATAGTTATCTTAATTCTTGTAGATCGTATAAATAGGGTGTGAGAGAGAAGATTGATTTAAAAAATAAATAAAAAGTAATAACAAAAATGAAAAAAACGCGGAAGGAAAAGGAAAAAAAGAAGGTAAGAATTGAAAATGACACTCACCGCGTAGCAAAGGTAAACAACATGCCTTTGGTTTGATCTCGATGTTTCGGAGATGGTGTTGAACAATAAGATAAAGAACAATGCACGCGAGGGTTACTCTGCGGAAGGCGAGAACCGTTGTGTAGTTCTAAACGCACGGTGGCATTCACGCGGCTCTCGTACGTATCGCACTTTCGCAAGAAAGGCCGGAGTAAGACACCGGCAGGTTGTGCTTCTATGCCTGAGAACGCAAGGAACGGATAAACCTGAACTGAGAGCGATGCGCGAACGAAAGTAAAACTCAAGTCCGTCCGGTCTTAGCGCCTACCTAGCGGAGTGGGGCCCTCCTCGAGCCTAAGAGAGGACTAGAAGAGAGTTGACTCGTCGTAATACAGGGTGTCGACACGTTGCCGGACGTGTATATCGAAGGGGCTCTGTTCTATACAGTGCATTATTCAACTAGTAACACGTTATACGCTAAGGTAAAAGTAGCCGAGCGATGCGTTAAGATATTACAGTGTTACTATGAACGAGACCAAGGTTCGTTACGTTTCTCTCGTATTGTTCCTCGAACTTGCATTTACACACTCTTCTTCTTCGTCTTCTTTTTTTTCCATTTATCTCTTTATATATTATCTTACAATAGGAAGAAACGTTCCGCCTCAAAGGTAATCGCCTATCTGTCGATTAGTTTGTGATTAGTGTCAAGTATGTACGCTCGCTCACATCTACATTTTTAAATCGATCGTATAAAGAATCATGGCTTGTACCTGAGTATGAAAGCTTTAAGAGTTACGTGTACTCTGTGTAAATATATACTTATGTCTTTCTTTGTGTGTGTGTGTGTGTATGTGTTATTTCAAGTTCTCGCCGCACACCTTCTTCTTTTTTGCATAATACTTTAACGCTAGGTAGGCGCCGTACGGAATCGTTGCGTTATGTTAATGGATGTGCACGGGTCTGATTGTAGCGACAAGCGTGGATTAAGATTCTTTAAAATGACATCGTGTGAGCGATAGATGCTGATGGACGACCGCATAAGACACGCCTACGTACGCTGAAAATTTATCTTGGTTACGATAATATTGCCAGTGAATGTATGTCGCGTGTAGGAAGATCGGTTTCTTCCATAAGAGTAACACTTTCGCTTCTTGATGACGTTTTCTTTTTTCATAAGTGAAAACGAGTATGCATAAATTGTTAAATGTAATCGTTAGTTTAATTTTTATAGATTAATTTATGCTAAGCTGCTTGAAGTTGTCAGGACTTGGATATATTTATCTAGGGTTAATTATGATCATTGAAGGCAGCTGCTTCTCCACAGGTATCTTATTCCACTTTTATTTCCGCACCATTTTTGTCACTGGATACATTCTTCCGAGTTTCTTGTCATTATTTAAATTGATTAATTAATAACGAAATTTTCTATCGTCTCTTAAAATTTCATCATATAATTAGAGCTTTAAATTAAAAGTCATAGATAATAATCTCTATGAGCGTACATCATCTGTATTATCAAGAACAGCTCCACTATAGGCCAGATCCCAATAATGCTCAACCTGATGCTTCTTGAAATGTTCACGTGCCATCTTTTCGATTGGACACACTTTGAACTTAATCTCACCGAAATGACGCTGCTTGCTCGTTCCCTCCCAAACGAGAACGCATTTATTCGGTACGTCATTTCCATCGTTATCCTTTACGATATCTTCTTCCCATTTGATACGATGCATCATCAATCGTTTGTATTTGCTAAGTTGTTTTGCTCCTCCTTCGACGACTACGACATTACAATCTCGAAAAAGCATTACACAGCCAGTAAGGTATAGCTGTTTTGCATTAGTTTCAACTTTGAACTTTTTCGATGCGTTGTTTACGAGATCGCGTATTCTAAAATAATCAAAGATTTTTATATGTTTATGTATGTTTAATGTATATTTGTAATTGTAAGTATGATGTATTTTAATAAATATTATTAAATATTGTAAAATATATTTTTTTTATGATTTACCTATAAACAGCTACATGTACTCCAAGGCTAGTATCTTCTTTGAGTTTCCTTGCTTTCTTCTCTCTGCGTTGTTCAGCTGTTAATCGTCGGGCTGCATTGGCATCCTCATGAGCCTTCAACCGTTTGGCCATTTGTTGTCGTACATGAGCTTCAAATTTAGTAGGGTCCTGTACTGCTTCGGTACCTAAGACTCGCATTAAGTTTGAGATTCGTAATTTGGGTTCTGGTGGAGGTTCTAATCCTAAACGAATTTTTTCTTGTTCCTCTTTCCATGCTTCTCGTCTATTCTGACGACGCAATTTCTTCCTTTCTTTTTTTGTAAGAAACACAGGCATGTAGATAGGTTTCAATGGATCAGCTAAAAAAGAAAGAATTTAAAATATAACTTCAGTGTATATATATATTATGTTAATTTATTATAATTTATAACTTTAAGAAAACATACTTGGCGGTCTCATTTGTGTTGGATGTTCTACTAAATTTGTAATCGTAGAAGTTTTGATCGTAGTTGGCTCGTCATCGTTAGGATATCCACCTGTTAATATGACAGAATCCCACCATTCAATATTTGGTACATCTTCGCTAAGAGCTTCCGTTTTAGGTGCTATTAACGCTAATTTCGTTGCTGAACTTATACCAGTCTTTCTAGCAATTTGACTAATTTCATTTTGAAGTTTTTCCAATTGAGCTTTCATACGGATTCTCTCTGCAAGTTGTTGAAATTTACCCGGTTCATGAAATTTCAATGAACGTCTGTTACGTACTGCTGGTTTAACTCCAATTCTAGTGTCAAAAAAGTGTGTATCCTGTATTTCTTCCGGACCCTTTGATTCTTGCAGCTGAGCTTTAAATTCTTCTCTTTTCTTTGCACGAATGTTAGCTTTTAATGTAGGTACTACCTGGGTAAGTTGTACCTCCTTTCCAGTTATGTCTACAGTCCTTCCTGATTCGTCCAAGATCAAAGGAGTCGGCTTATCTGGCACTGCGACATTACTAAGCAATCCAGAACTTAATTTGTTTCTGATTTGTGCTTGGAGTGCAGCAAGTTTTCTTGCTTTATCAGAATCTGTTTTACTCAACAGACCTTGATTATACATACTGCCTACATTTGGCAACGAATCTCTGGCTTTGAAGAGAGGCCTCACAGGTGGTACTTCTTCTTGTTTAATAGCTTTCAATGCCCTTTTCCTTTCTTCAATCTCTCTTTGAGCATTAGCCATCATTTGCCTTATCTGAAAACAATAAAATCTATACAAACTCTTACGATATACCGTACAAGTATTTTCAAATATAAAATAAATATACTACCTTATCAGCGGAAAGTTGAGTTTCTGCAGGTTTATCATTTTTAATTTCATCATCTTTAAATTTAGGTTTCTTAGCATCCTTTTCTTTTTCCTTGTCTTCCACATGATTACGCTTTTTACTTTTCTGTGCAGCTTTGATATCATCGTATATTGCAAATATCTTCTCTGTTAATTTGGTAGCTCTTTTATCTTCCAATAAGGCGGATAGTTTATCTAGAAAAAAAAAAACAATTAAAAAATAACAAGTACAAATTATTCAATAAAAATTGAATTAGGTATATATTAGAAATCTCATCATTATTACCTGCTGTTTTACGTTTATCATAGCCAGAGGTGATACAATTGACAGCCGTAGTAACGATAGCAGGTTCACCGAAGCCGAGAAATTTGTTTACGGCTTTCTCAATTTGTGGCTTCATTTCATCTATCTCTTTTTTCGTTAAATACGACATTTTATTATTTTTATTCAAACTATTAAAAATGGAATTTGCAATACAAAGTGCAAGAATATAAGTATTTTCCACAACATAACCTCCTTTAAACTTTTGGTTGAGAAGAACTTTTCTCAATCTACCGCTAGACGTCGTACATTCTTGCAAACGTATCGATGCATATTCTATTATATTTTTAGTTTTAATTCAAATTCTTAATCCATTTTGAACACAAGTTTAATTAGGAATAAGACTCACTCGTTTTAATTTTATTACAACGAATTCCTCTAAAATGAATATAGGACAAAAGATACCAGTAACCAATCAGAAGATTTAAAAGATAAGATTAGGAATGCTTACATGTAAACCTTAAATTATAATATAGTGTTTTTTTTAATCATTATTGCATTATAAAAGTGCAAGTATTAATAATTACTATGAATATTAATTAATTCAACATTTGTTTATTATGCAGATAATTGTACATATCGTTCTATCGACTTTTTTCGATAATTCGATATATCTCGATTGCATTTTCTTGATCGTATGAACCAATGAGGAGCTTTACGTTCTGTAGAAGAATGCACCAATGAGATCGAAGCATTTTAAACGCGCGAGTTTCAGATATTTTTAAATCTGAACTATTTGTGACGATCATAATAATTGGATTATTTATCAATTTTTGTCTTACTTTTAATAATATTAAGGTAAGAAATTCTCGAGATAACAATAATTTACGTTTATTTTTATTATATATGCAAATTTAAATTAATATAAAAAATATCTTTTGTATATACTTACTCTTTTTACTAAATAGTAATTGTAATAATAGATTTATACTAAACAAATGTTAAATAAAATCGTCGAACGTACAAACGTACGATCAATGCATGTTTTCTGAAAGACGCATGGGTACTGAAACGATGTAAGGGAATCTTATTCCAACAAAATATATAAAGGTTTAAGGGGTCGAAAGTGGTTACGCGGGTGGTAGAATAGCAGTGGACCGACAACCACAAATGAGAATGGTAGAGAGAAGTACAGTGTTCCACGCTTCCCTGGTGACCGATGAGGCCAATTCTGTGAACCACATTTGCTTCATTCCGAGGCTGTTGCTCTAAACTTTTCTGTTAATTGAAACGAAGGAATTGGAACTCTGCCCACCGTTGTTCTCGTTTATGTTAGCGCCGATTAATTTCCTACATTACGCTTGTAACTTATATATTTCAACGATACAATTTCTATATATTATTTTATAAATAAATTTGAAATATAACTATAGACTATATATTACGTTCATAGTTTATTTCATGTTTATTCCGTTATGGAAACAAAACTTTATCAAGTTTGGCGATAACAATGGCGATGTCGCGGCAATGGGAACGTGGACGAGTAGCGAGAGGGTAATATTCAGTCAGGGTTGTGTATCGGGACAGTCGTGTTTCTTCGTAAATTTAACGATTTTGCGAGGGAGACGACGGGGGCACGTCCCGAAATGATGTACGGCTCGCTCGTATGACTCGGCAGCTAATGCTCTAATATGCGCAAAGGGTGCCATGCCCGTGTCACGCGGATTACCGCTAATTGTAGTTTATGCTTTATACTATGCTATTCTCTTGTACGTCGTCGTGTGCCGTACCCCGGTGGTGAGTAGTATCCGATCTACAGGGTAGCTAGGTCAAATCGACACGATCGAAGGATCGTTCTATCGAAATTAAAGAGATTACGATCAAATCCTAATCAATTTCTAAGCTTTTCATATTGTTTTA